GGTATCGCTGTTGCTTGTCATCGCGCCCTGCGGCCCGCGCATCCAAGTCCTCAAAACCTGAACCCTAAACCCTATAAACCCCTACCTTAAGAACCCAAAACCCACTTTTTTTGTAGGTTCTTATTACAAACCCTAATATGGGATTCAGAGGGACCCTACAAAAAAGTAGGTTTTGGGTTCTTAAGGTAGCCCCTAAACCCTATAAACCCCTAAACCCTAAACGCTAAACCCTGCACCCTAAACCCCTGAACCCTAAATCAAAGAGCCGACTGCAAATCTCGGACTACATTTCGCCGGTCTAGACGGAGCCATCTACACCAAAGCCCCAACATGCCCTTCCAAACCATACGTCTAAACAAAGCAACCCATAACCTGACACAAAACTCAAGACTGTAAAAATTGAGCCCTACCCATAGGCCCCATACTAGTTCCTTTGTGGGGATTACCTAATAGGATCCTAAATACAAACCACAAGGAGGAACTACTATGGGGCCTTTGGGTACGCGCCAGAACCTGAACCTGGAACGAGTAGCCGTGACCAGTGTTCGTCGCCTGCTGCGGAAGTGGCTCCTTACAGCGATGAAGATTTCAGTCGAGGGCTCAGGGCTTTAGGGTAAGGGCACCTTTCTCAATTCTTTATAGGAACCCTAAACCCTAAACCCTATAAACCCGAAACCCTAAGCAGGTCCTGGAACTAACTGCAGACTGGCCCGGAGGCTGCTCACTCAAGGCTTAGCTGCCCTATATTTGGGGTTTCCAAAAATAGGGGACCCTAATAAGGGTTTAGGGTTTTAGGGTTTAGGTTTTAGGGTTTTTTTTAGGGCTTATGGCAAAAATAGGGGACCCTAATATAATACCCTAAATAATAGGTTCCTTATTAAAAGGACCCAACAAATAAGGCACCCTAATTTTCGGAAAGTCCCATAATCACGGTCCAAAAGGGAACCTACGCTCTTTGGGGTTTAGGGTTTACCCAGGGGCTCCAAGGTAGTTCCTTTTTGGGTCTGCTATGGTTTTTTGGTAGGGAATTATACTTTTCTATCCAAAAAGGAACTACATAGGAGCCCTTGTGTAGGGTCCATCTCAGGATCCCATGGGACTCCTTCCTCGAGCCTCCATGCCCTGCGGTCACACTTGTTTTTGTTCATGTCCGTGCTTTGTGTCCGCTTTCTGCCTGTTGTTGGAAAATCCACCGGCACCTTGGCATCTTCAATCCGAGGATGCGTTGCTGGATTTTCCATTTGGTGTGCGCCTAGGATTGATATCTACAAACCAAATCACGGCTTGGCGCACGCCATGTCTCCAACACAGCGGAGCTGTGGTCGGCAGCTTGCTTTACGAACACCGGATAAGGTGAACAGCGCTGCGGAAGTCCACATGAACATTCTGGGGCTGATAGCCGGTCAGCCAACTGCGTGTGCTGTTGTTGCTGGTTGTCGTTACAGATGCCGTTGATTTTGCTGCCGCTGGTTCTGAAGCTCTCGCTCTCGCTCTGGCTCTAGCTTTCGCTGTTGGTGTTGCTGTTGTTGCTGTTGTTGCTGCGGCTGTTGTTTTCGTTGTTGTTGCTGTTGCTGCTGAGGGTTGTTAATGTTGCTGCCGTTGGTGCTGCTGCTCTCACTCTCGATATTGCTCTTGTTTCGCTGTTGATGATGGTGCTGTTGCTGTTGTATTTTGTTGTTGTTGCTGCTGGTGCTGATGTTGGTGGTTGTAGTTGCTGTTGCAGATGCTGATGTTGTTTACTGTTGCTGCTGTTGTTGTCGTTGTTGCTGCTGCTGTTCATGCTGCCGCTGCTGGTGCTGCTGCTCTCGTTCTCGCTCTAGCTATTCCTATTGTTGCTGTTGTGGTTGTTGGTTGTTGTTGCTGCCGTTGTTGATGTTGCTGCCACAGGTGCTGCTGCTTTCGCTCTCGCTCTTGCTCGTGCTTTCGCTGTTCGCGTTGCTGATGTTGGTGTTGTTGTGGTTGTAGTGGCGTCGTTTTTTTTTGTGGTTGTTGCTGCTGCTCTCGCTCTGGCTCTCGCTCTTGTTATTGCTTTCGCTGCTGATTTTGCTGTGGTTGTTGTTGCTGCTGTTGGTGTTGTTGTTGTTGTTGTTGTTGTTGTCGTTGTTGTTGTTGATGCTGATGTGGTTGTCGATTGTCGTTGCCGCAGGCAACAACACCTTAGTTCGACTAGCAACAACGGCACACTATCATAGTTTCTCCTGATGCCCTCACACCCCAACGGGAGTCTCACCAAAGTATCCCCCAGATTTCTATTCTATTATATTGTAGCTTCAATGAACCATCAGTGCGCGGCAGCGCAGCATGCAAGCGACACGACGCCGCTAACCACAGCTCCCTCAAGCAAAAAAAGAAGTCGGTCTAATCTGGAGTGCCCTCTACTCTGACTGAAGCCAAAACCCTGATCCTTCCACATCTTCAGAGGATATCGATGCCTGAATGCCTGCATAGCTACTGATAGTGCGCTTGTTTGCTGCTCCGAAAACTCATGCTGGGTAGTGTTTCAATTCGGCACCCCGTAAGCAAGCAGAAATATGCTATACTGGGAGAGCAGCCATCTTACAAGGCCTTCAGACGAAGACATACAAGATAGCAGGATCATCTGTTGTCACTGCTGTGAGTGATGACGGACATGCTAGAACCCATGGCTTCCCCATTCCGCACGAGCAGTGCGATGTCGAGAAGCACTCCAGCGTGTCAATCACCCCGGCGCCGCCCGCAGAGGATCAACGCGCATTTGCGCCGGGGATATCAGACCAAAACCCTAAACCCTAAACCCTAAACCCTAAACCAAAGAACAGAACACCGTCAGGGTCTATGTCCCCATATAGTACTTCTGTACAGATGTACGTTAATGATATACATAGAATTGCATAGACGTACATACAGATACATACATTATACACATGGACCTATATACGGCATAGTGTTATAGCACCTATATCGGAACATCTTTGGGGCCACCGACCTGTATGAAAATGAAAGACAAAGCCCTTCAGGTCCAGTGTCGTGGGATTTCGATCACGTAGTGAGAGACTTTACTCTGGATGCCATTTGTAGATCAGGGCACCCTCAATCATCAAGAAGTTTTGGGAGCTTACTGGGTCCAGCATTCATCGTTTGTCTAATTGCCATCTGCAGTACAAGCTTCAGCCATCTACCGCCTACTTCCAAATCATCCACTTCTCCTCCAGCTACAGTTTGGTCAGCTAGCTCTCCGATGACTCGTGCTCCCCGGCTGACTTGATAAAAGTGTCTGAAGTATACTACACAGAAACACGCTCAAATCCGGTGCAGGACGTATGTGTGGCCGAAGCTTTCAACATGGCACACCACAACCCCAAGCCACCGACTGAACCTCCGAACATCCTAACTGTGCGGAGAAGGATCCCGCCAATCCGAACCCCAGTGCTTGCAGCCTTTATGATTTTCTAGAGCTTTAGGGCTGGGATTTAGGATTCGGGGGTTCGGTGGGTAAAAGTGTGGTCCTTCTCCATCTGGCCAGATTCTCAACTAGCCAGACCAGCATGCTTTGTAACTCTTCAGCAAGCGTGCAACAAGCCTGGGCCTTGTCTTTCGATTGCCCGTCACAAAGACTGAAAGATGTTGATGCAGTTTGACGGTAGCCTGCTGCTTCTGCTACTGCTACCGCTATTGCTACTGCTACTGCTGCTGCTGCGGCCGCCGCTGCTACAGCTGCTGCTAGCTCCTACGCCTACTGCTACTCCTACTAAGTCCTCCTACTACTACTACTACTACGACGATAACGACGACTACTACCACTAGTACTAGTACGAGACTAGTACTGGTACTTGTACTCATAGTCGCAGCAGCAGCAGCAGCAGCGGTAGTTGTAGTCTCACTACTAATTGCAGGTACTGTGTACCAGTTGTTGTAGTGGCAATGGCAGTATTAGTCGTGAGGTGCATTACTTGAAACACTAAACCCTAAACCTTACCAGTACTATGTTGAAATGATTCCACCCCATACCCTAAACTCTAATTCCCCCAAACCATAAACCTTACTAGACTAGAACTATATAGTTGTTAGCTGCTTTACTGGGCTTTGAAGTAAGCTGGGAGAAAAAAGTATAGACTTTTATTTCATAATGGCTCCTTTAAGGAACCGGTCCCCCCAAAAAGTAATAAAGTATGGTACTCCAAAGCCCTGTTTACTTGATCATTTCAGGCCCAGGCTGGGGACATACAGTCCCTGAGGTTTACGGCGCTCTCCTCCTGTACCACGAGATCAAGTCGCAGCCGACCGAACCCCGAGCTGCCTCCTTCAACCCCGAACCGAAGCACCGTAGACCCCAAGGGGTTTAGGGCCGTTTAAGGTTTAGGGTTTAAGGTTTAGGGTTTAGGGTTTAGGGCTCACATACTACCAAACCCCTCCGACTGTGAACTTTGCGCGAGGGAAAGCGAACCAATGGTAGCCCGTCAGGGTAACTCAGGGTTTAGGGGCCCGAGGCTTATACAGAGGCCCAGGGGAAGTAGCGGATGAGTTGCGCAACAGTAACCGGAGAAACGGCTCACTGAGTGAGAGGCTCGGAACATGTAGTCAGTGCAAGTTGCAAAATGCTTTCCGAGTCCGTTGAGCTGTTTTTGCAGTAAGCGGGTACAGGATCCAAATGAGTCAGTGACGAACCCGGCTGCAAGAAGCCTATTTCAAGCTCTGCTTCACTCCCACGTACCTTCCTTAAGGGAGTACATGCCCGGTCGGAAGGCGAGACCCCGTGAGGTCGCAAGTCACACGGACAAGCAAACATAGTTCTCCACACCATAAACCTCCCTGAATTGCGACGGTGCTGCGCTCAGGCTCATTGTAGATGTCAAACTCCCTGTGGCAAACATCATTTCTTCAGCCGCCATGCTTTTCATTCCGGAGACGGGCAACTGTTCCAAACCTTCGCTAGTCTTGCAAGCCCTGCAAAAAGCAATGCGAACAGCAACAGAAAACATGGTTTCACCGAACAACAGCCAACAAGGTTTCTGAAGACCACCCTAGAAGCCCAGCGAGGAATCACCCGAGCTCGTGGAGCACAAGTCTGCCTCATCCTTGCCGTCCGTCATGCAAACGGAACCACCGATGAGACTCGCGGGCACAGGAATTTGATCCAGCCCGGGTGGTGCCTGAGGGAATTGGTTCAAAACGTCATCCGATTCCCGTGGAAACCATGGTGCTGCGGCAGAGTTCAAAGCAAACCTTCGGGGCGCATCGAGACTCTGCATTGGCATCGTGTAGGCGGCAAGGAGCTGGGATGGAGTGAAAGGCGGGATCATCTGGAAGGTTGCGCTGGGCATCTCGTGACCCGTGACCTTGACCTTCGCCTTTGGCCCAAGCTGGTGCACAAACCTACATGCATCACCCCGAGTGCAGACGCCCTTCTTCGCGAAGTCAAAGCAAGGCTTGGGACTGGGACGTAACTCTGTCGTTTCGTGTGCAAACGTACATTCTGCCCCCATCTTGCACTCGTTGGTCCGCCAGAACTTGCACATGCGGGTGAACTGCACGGCCTTCTTCTGCTCGGCTTTCGTCATGGCTTCCCAACTCGAGGAGCGAAGTGGCTTAGTTTCAAGACCAACTAAGGGCAACTTGACTTGGCCAAGCAGACGTCGAGATTCCCATTCTTGTACTGCCATTTCGTCAAGAACTGCCGACAGCCTACAGCTAAGGAGGGGAAAGCCTCGAAGCGAACCCTGAATCTTGGATCAACGCCCAATCTTGGTGTGGTACTCATACCCGACCGCCTCCCCGCAGCACTTTCCAGATCCAGTTCGGCTCAAAGTACATTCGTGCCCCCTGAAACGTCAACTGAATAGTAATTGGTAAGTAGTTGTCGTCGAAGCAGTAGTGCATGCTGTACAACGAACCTCAAAAACAATCAATCGAAAATCCTTTGCAGCACTGATGCCAGTGACTCGCACTGGTAAACCAAGGGTGCTTCTGGAGCTTGCTGCGCTCGTGGCTTAAGATGAAAAAGGACCTGCAAAGTAGGGTACCTGGTTCAAGGGTCTCTAATATGAATAGGATGCGACTATTAAGGGCTGATTCTGGCTGATCTTACGACCTTTCATTTCAACAACCATTGCAACCAGCTTCGCTCTGGTGTACCTTTTCGTGCTGCGCCCGCTTGGTCTGTGGTTATACCACGGCATCTTCAATCCAAGGATGCACTGCTGGATTTCCCGGTGGAGTTGATATTTACACAAAATACCACGACTTCTCACACGCCAAATGTTTCCAACACAGCGGAGCTGTGGTGGGCGGCTTCTCTTGGGAACAACGGATGAACGACCGTGTCTCGAAAGTCGGGATGGACAAGCTTGTCGCTAGCATGGCGAACTCGATGCTGAGAGCACGTCAACTTCAGAAAACGAAAGCTGCCTTCGCTCATTTGAGTGATGACTATTAGCCTATATATGGTCAACTAGCAAAGAAAGCTGTAGCATAAATCAATCACACGCCTCGCGATGGTTGTGGTGGTGGTGGGTGAATTAGTGGTAGTAGCGGTAGTAGCGGTGGTGGTGGTGGTGGTGGCATGGTGGTGGTAGCAGTGGTGGTCGTGGCAGTCGTAGTATTGAAGCAGCAGCAGTAGTAGCAGTAGTAGTAGTAGCAGCAGTAGTAGTAGTAGTACTAGTAGTAGTAGTGGTAGTAGTAGTAGTAGTAGTAGTAGTAGCCATAGTAGTAATGATAGTAGTGCAAGTACAAGTCCATGTACTAGTGCAAGTACAGATACTAGTACTAGATCCAGTACCCGTACCAGTGCCAATACCAGCAGTACCAGTAGTACTGGTAGCAGTAGTAGTAGTTGAAGTAGTAGTAGTAGTAGTAGTAGTAGTAGTAGCAGCAGTAGTAGTAGTAGTAGTCGTAGTCGTAGTAGTAGTAGTAGTAGTAGTAGTAGTAGTAGTGATAGGTAGTAGTACTAATAATACATGTCGCGGTACAAGTGCAAGTACTAGTACTAGTACTACTACTGCAATCATTACTAGTACCAGTACTACTGGAAGTACTAATAGTAATAGTAATAACAAAAGTAGTAGTTAAAACAATAGTAGTAGTCTGATTAGTAGTAGTAGTAGTAGTAGTAGTAGTAGTGGTAGTAATAGAGATAGCAGTAGCAGTAGTAGGAATTGTTATTTTTATGATTCTTGTTATTTTTTGTTAGTAGTAGTGATAGCAGTAGTAGCAGTAGTAGTTGTAGCAGCAGCAGTAGTAGTAGTAGTAGCAGCAGTAGTAGTAGTAGCAGCAGTAGTAGTAGTAGTAGCAGCAGTAGTAGTAGTAGAGGTAGTAGCA